AAGAAGTTTGTTTATTATGTGGAAGAAGGAAGTTTTCCTTAATTATGCTCTTGGCACAGTGGAAATTAAAGTTAAACCAGTTTTACATGCTTACCCTTTTTTTCTGCCCCATACGACCAGTCGTTATCATTGAGGTCATCATTGTCTTCCTGATCGCTCTCTGATTTGCTCATGTTATTATTGCTGGCTAGCCTGTTAAAAAGGTAGAAAAAATAACAGTCAAACATTCAGATCAGATGCTCATGGTAGCCATGTGGAAGCCACGGATCAACACAACAGTCCTGAAAGACTTTAGCCGACCGACCTGCGGTTGGCAATGCGACTGCTGTTGCGGCCCATTCCCAGACATTTCTCCAAGTGCGGGGCGAAGCGAGAGGCCGCTATTAATCTTTTGCAGTTCGGGCACTCACACTCTTTATTTTTCCACTGATTGTACACTTGGCCAAAGATGTCCACTCCTGGCTGATCCACAATTTCTGAAAGAGTAACAAAAGAAAACACTGTAAATAAACACACCAAAGAAAACCAAGTAATAAATAAATAACTGAAGGTCACGGCACGGCACCAACCGAACTCCTTCATGCTCTCTTGGTCCGTTTCATCCAAGAAGAAATAGCCCTGTTTCACAGCACGATGTACCTCAAAACACAGGCCCAAACAGGCATCTTCCACCAGCTCCGAGTAGATGTCATGGACCAAGGCCTACAACACAAAAGATAAACCAAATACAAACATGAAAACAGATGAAAGACATAACGTCTGTCTGTGTGTGACAGTTAAAGGAAGCAATTACATATTTTACACACATACACTCACCTCCAGCTTGGTGTTGTCTGGGCCTGACAGGGGCATATCCTCCATTTTCATTTGAAAATCTGTATGGGAAATCTTGATAGCAGGGTAATGAGATGCTGACCTGCAGGTTTTGAACAAAAAAAACAAACAAATATATGACGAACAGGTAACAGAACCAAGAATGACTAATCCAATCTGTCCTCAAGGGTCCAGTTTATTGCAAAATACTTACTTTTAAAACAGTTATCAACACTTGTTGCAGATATGTCTTCATTCTGTTGAAAAGAAGAAAATATATAAATGAATAAGTGTCAGATGTTGGGGTTTAATGTAGTGTTTGTTGTCCAACTGCACATACCTAAGCCTGGGTGCATTTGTTACACCAATATCATCATTCATATTTTATTAGATAGCAGATGCATCACATGTTGTTGCAGTAGTAAGTAGAAGCTTTGATCTGGCCCATAATAACAGGCCCAACCCGAACTGTGTGAGCCCGAACCACTGAAGCAGATTTCCAACTTAAAATAAATGAATAATTGATTACAAGCTAAAGCAGTTATTATCAAAACTAACAAATAACAAATGCACTTATTAATTACAGTTTTTATTAATAAAATATTGTATTTTTCTTCTTTAACAGCCCGACCCGAGCAGAGAATCAACGACGATCACCATTCAGTGATGTCAATGCGTCAGGTGTGGTTAACAGAGGGAGCTACAGTCTGTTATTGACACTGTAAACACTGTAAACACTGTAAACA